CCTCAGGGTAGTGTACTGCCTACTGGGTCCTTTGCTGTTTTCACTATATACCATGGACGTCCATAGCGTCACCAGCCCAGCACACTCCCAGCTGTTTGCGGATGACATCCTTCTCCACACCGCAAGCAGTTCCGTAGCAACCCTCAAGTATTATCAGTTGCTGTGTCAAACTTGGCTGACTACCTACACGAGAAAGGCCTGCTTTTAAACCCCGACAAGACGCAGGTCTTAGCAATTGAAGCATCACGCCGTAGTACCCTGGAACTCAACGTTAACTGCAACGGGACGCCTCTCGCCCAGACCACCACTGCTCGCTTTCTGGGTCTACAGATCGATTCCTGTCTTCGGTGGGACGCGCAGGTCTCCAGCATAGTACAGTACGTAAAACTTCCCAGAAGCTAACCACCCTGAGAACCATCCGCCCGTCGCTATCTGAACGCCAGTCGCTCCTCTTCTATTCTGCCCTTATACTTCCTGACATGCTTTATGGATCAAACGCGTTCTTCTCTGCACTCACGGCTCAGCAGCGGCACCAGCTCACTGTCCTCGACAAGCGATGTGGTCGCTGCGTAGCCAATCTGCCCTTCCTGTCCCATACCACTCCTATACGCTCGCCTTTCTCTGACCCCTGTCATTGAACGTGCCAAATGCAAACTCCGTTTCCTTATGCACCGTGTCCACACCAGCAGCTGAGCATCAGCCCTCTTCTGAAAGATCGAGTACTAGTAGCCCTCCAACCTCCCAGTAACACCCCTGGCAATGACAATTGCAAATATGATTGTTGTTCCGCTAACTCGGCGAACATCTGGCGACAGCCGACCATTAGTTTCCGCCGTGAAGCTTTGGAACACCCTGCCACAGGAACTCACGTCCACTCGTCGTCCAACTCCGTTTAAAATATTGCTGAAAGTGTTTTTCTACGGTTAATATGGCCGAATAGTACCTCCCTCTGGCATAGGTCCTCATCTTCCTATTTCTCTCTGATTGTTAGCTCGTTCGAACTTGACTTGTAATTACCGGTCCATATACTTCCTATTGACTGTTTTCTCATTTTCTCAAGTGCAGCTTTATCGAGCCACACTTTTTGTTCTATCGCCATCATAATATTGGGCATCAATGCCCGTTTGGTTTGCGATGTAAAATAAAACTTCAAACAAACGGGCGTATTAGCCCTTGGCGGATTATGCCGGCATACTATTTGGCATAATCTTGGGATTTCGTCAAAAAATTATGCTCCGGCATAATAATACGGATTCCAACGTGGAAGGTGGGCATAATCTTTTGGTTTAGACAAAAATTATGCTTAGGGGCATAATACAGCTTTGTCAGACTGAAAGCCTGGAGATGTTTTTTTTAAATACCCCAGTTACGACTCCTTGTCATAGCCCTTGGCGGATTATGGCGGCATAATATTTGGCATAATCTTGGGATTTCGTCCAAAAATTATGCTCCGGTATAATATACGGATTCCAACGTGTAAGGTAGGCATCTTTCGGTTTAGACAAAAATATTATGCTTAGGGCATGGCCGTGTGTGTATGCGTGGTTTCTCAATCCTCTATGTACAGCGTGAATACATAGTGGAACCGAGCACAATTCAGCATAATTCAGCATATTTGTTGGCATAATTGTGGCATAATCAAAAGCAGGGAGTCGTAAAATACCCGGTATTTTACGACTCCCTGATCAAAAGCATAATTTGACGATTGGCCGAGCATAGTCTGCCAATGGCTAGCGTATATGGTACATGGGACATGGTATGTGTGTGCGTGCGTGTGTGTGTATGCTTCTGTGACAAGTGATACAAGCAGTATACAGGGTATTCACGGGTATTCGCCTTGAGTGCATTCGCCGATAGTGTGACTTTCGTCGCAGAGAACTTTGCTCAGTCGGTCAGGCGACACTCGGCCGTACGTTTCCTGAGGGCAATGTGTTCAGAAGAGTTATGACCAGTTAATGACAAATATTGTGTGCAGTTCATTGACCGTACAGGTGTGAAACACTTTGGTATGGTATGGCATAGTATTGATATAATTATTTGAATTCGGTATCTCAACAGTACAATGTACAACTTGGGAAGATCCGAATGACATACAGTCAACTTCGCTAATAACGACTGCGGATATAACGACCATTCGCGAATAACGACATAATTTTCATGCCCGGAGCAAAGTCCCATCCAACTGTGACACATAATTATAATGAGACTTCGGGTATAACGACACTTCGTGAATAAGGACACTTTTCTGATGCCCCGCCGAGTGTCGTTATAAGCGAAGTTGGCTGTAGATACATGTAAACATAAAGGTGGAGTAGGTGCTACAGCTGATCATTTTATCGCAGGTTGTGGGACTAAACTAATACCAGTATGCAAGTACACAAGAAATAAATAAGACTTTGAATGCAGACGCCTTTGAGTAATCCTGAAATAAAGATGATAAGAATGAGGATAGTGGCATCAAATACTGCATCTGTTTGATATGCTACTTTGTTTCCCTTCCATGGAAAGGTGAGTACATCATCGAACTTCACCTCGAAACTTCACACAAACCGAGAATGGAACTTGGACAACATGAAGGGACCATAGGCATGGTGGGGGTGGGAACTTTGCGAACGGCTCTTCTTCAATCAATTGTATAATCATATTTCTCCTGCTCTGGATCCCGCGCAATCTGGGTTTCGTCGTGGTGACTCGACCGCTCTACAGCTCACCAAGCTGATCCAAAACATTGCCGACCATCGTCATATGGGGCGGAAAGTTGCCATGTGCTTTTTCGACCTCGAGAAAGCTTTCGACACCGTGTGGCACCGTGCATTACTTGCTAAACTTTCCAAAGTTTTCGGTGTGTGTGACTCAGCGCTGGAGTGGATTACAGACTACCTATCCGACAGAACGCAAGTTGTCTTCGTAGGTGGAACTCTCTCAGATGCTTCACCTGTTCTGTCCGGAGTGCCCCAGGGATCCATCCTAGGGCCCCTCCTTTTCCTAGTGTATATAAATGATCTTCCCAGTCATGTTGAAGGAGTGTCCTTATTTGCTGACGATACTGCACTGCTCCGGTTCAATGACTGTCTAGACAGGCTGCGAGACAGTCTCCAGCGCGGTATCAACGAAGTCCATCAGTGGATGACTACCTGGAGACTATGACCTAGTATCGCCAAGACTGAGATATTATTCCTGCCGAACTCAGAGCCAACCTATGCATTCACTCTTCCCGGATCCCTCACAGACCTCAGAGTGGTAAAACAACACAAACATCTTGGTTTGGTCATTGACTCAGACTTATCGTTTAGTAGACATGTCGACTATATCTGTAGCAAAGTCAGTAAAGCTGTTGGCTACCTCGTGTCTCACTGCTCCCACCTACCCGCTTGAATGCATTCGCCTTTTTTATCATTGCTATATTCTCCCCATTTTTCTCTATTGCTCAACCGCCTGGTCATCCCTACTTAGTAAATCGTTAATGAGTACCCTGGAAGTCCATAATAAGAGGATACTCAAAGTCCTTTTCCGCAAACCATCATACTTTCCTTCTGCCGAGCTGTATGATATGTTTAACACCTTCCCTATCTCTAGTCAAGCGGATCGAAAACTGTGTATTGTTGTTCATTCTATTCGTCTTGACAAATCCCCGCCACACTTGCGTAAATATAACTGGTTTCTTCCCACTCGTCCTACGCGCAATCCCTGCACTTTACCTAAAGCCCGAACCTCAGCTTATACCAGATCTCCGTTTTTTGCTGCCTATTCTCTCTGGCTGGCCCTGCCTCTATCAGTAAAATCGTCTTGTACGCTAAAGGATTTCAAGGCCAACATGAAGCTCATGTTCTAATAACTGCTAGTTCTTCATCCACATTTGTTTCTCTTTGCCTCCAGTAATGTGTAATATTTATTTATTTTTGCTTTGTTTTTTTGTTTACTGCCATGGCTGGCTACCGCCCCCTCCCTCCATATTGGCCTATATTCTCTGGCCACGGGAAGGTGAAATAAAATAAAAAAATGGTATGTTTAGTGGAGTTCTATTCCGCAAACAGGGCGTCATTCGCACTGACTCAATTCAAATTTGAGTACATTTTGCCGACGGTGGTTAAGTTACCTTGACATTAATTTTGTCGTCTCCAAAGCAGTGAACTTCCAACAAATTGAACAACCACGGCTCAACCTTTAAGGTAATGCGTGGTACATATCACAAACAACCGGCTTTCGCTCTGGAGATCCAGAATAGGCCTCGACGCACATAGCAAAAACAATTGAGGAAAAGAAGATGATGACGACGTTTCAAATTTCGCGGGTCGTGAAATGTGTGACGTGTCGCCTCCCAGTACTTTACGATTCCCTGGTATAATTGTGACTCCCTGGTCAACACCAAACCATTTACTACACCAGTCATTCCTTTCGCCACACCATTCATGCTCACAAGGCAACTAAGTGTCACGTGTCAACCATAGTATTCGTGAGGCTATCAGCGTTCGTTATCGTTGTCCAGCTGTCAGCAATGACTGGTGATTGGAGGCTTCTCGATACGGTGTAAAGCTGTTGCCTTTTGTCCTGTAGTATAAATAATGCATGTACATAATCATTACTGGCTAGCTGTAGAGGGGTCGTTGCGCGAGTGCTGTTGAATAGCGCTAGTACTACTACTTTGCGATGATAATGTTTGGCCTCACATCAGCTACAATGATTGTTAAAAATAACGTAAGTGTAAGTTCATTAGTTTTTCTCACCATTGATGTTTTCGCGCCATAGATGTAATCTTCTCCCTGGATATAGCCTGAGCACGTACATGTACGTGCTCAGGCTATATCAGGTTCACCTCACAGTCTGCTTATTATCAATCCTGATGATGGCCCAGTGCCGAAATATTGATGGAGAAATGTTTATCATTTTGTTTCCTTGTAGTTCAGAGTTTGTGCAATGTGTGTATGTTATGAGCGATCTGTTGGAGAACGGGCGACGGTGCGTGACTAATCACGTGACTAATCACTCTCCGGAGCCCTTTGTTACTGGCCGCCATTACCGAGATGCTTGTCTATTTCATCAGCAACGGTCTTGGCAGACATTCGAGAGTGGCGATCAACGCGCAGCAAGTTGTATGCCAGAAAATTGACAAACCGCGATATTCCCTTTTGGAATTGATGGTGAGTGAATTCGAGCCATGGCGGACGCTCAATTCTACCCACTGCATCTGGACCCACACGGTTCGTCGTGATGAACTTGGAATAGTCCGGATCTTCAGCATTCGCATGAGCCCACGGGCCATTGTAAGCATTGAAGAGAAGGCGCACCATGCTGAAGCCCAGGGCCCACATGTCCACTTCCGGCCCGACGCTATACTCTTGGCTCTCGGGAAGCAAGGGGTGTTTTCGCAACACCCACAGCTCCGGACAACGGTATGTGGATGTGTCCCCAGAAAGAACGTCGTCCGGCCTGGCCTGTGCTCCAACTACCTTGGTGGATCCCAGGTCGATAAGCTTAGCCCTCTTTCTGCCACTCGCGTCCTGGCTCACTCCGATGTTGGTTAGCTTCACGTCGAAGTGCACCAGGCCTAGCGTGTGTAGCTGATCGAGGCCCCGTGCGGCTTCTGAGATCAGCCTAAGTCGCTCAGTTGCGGACATATCGGTGTCAGAGAGCTCCCTAAGGTCTTGGTACTGGCAGTACTCCATCTGCATGTAGAGACCACAGGGGAGCACAAAGGCTGCTGGCTCCACACGAGCGAAGTACTGGCACCCGATCTTCTCGAGCACGAATTTATTGACCAGCATTTCCCTGACAAGTTCAGACATCCTGACCTTATCAAAAGGCTCCGCTGAGGTTGCCTCATAAGAGGCGAACTTCAGGATATACTTTTTACCATCCTGGTTGGACGTGGCAAGGTCAATACCGACCTTCGTTTGGTTGCTGAATCTCATCGCTTTATCGAGGGTCCAGCACTCACTGTATTTCTGGACTGACACCACTGGAGGCATGGTCGTCTCCTCGTATACCTTCTTGTGCAGCGCTTGCGCCTGTGCTGTTGCGAAGTCCTCTCGTGGCTGCAACACCAGTCGACGGGAAGGTATCAGTGACGGTGGTGACTCGCTTAGGCCGGGCGCAGACCCCAGCGCTAGTTCCGTCTTCGACTCGCTGTCGACTTTGGCCCTCTTGGCCGGTGGGTCAAGCATTATTGCTGTTTGAACCTTGAAGAGAACGTTAAAATTCAGCAGAACGTAAAAGCTAGCAATCAAGCAGTCTTCATCGAGAAAACAATCACACGAAGGGTAGCACTTTTATTATGCACCACATTCTAATCCCACAGCTACCCAATCATACGCTAAAATACACATGCGCAGATTGAGCATGATTTTATGTGATAATACTCATATTATATATATGATAATACCCATATTATATGTATCTATTATTGCACGATTAAAGAGGTCAATATATGAAATATAGAACGAGTAAAAGACCGAGATCCGCCGAGGTCTTTTACGAGGTCTATATTTCATATATTGACCCATTATGAGGGCAATAATAGATTTATCACGACATAGCATACCTAAAACTGGTTTTGCTTTGCTATAGGAAGAAAGGAATACTATTGTAATAGTATAATAGTATGTACATATGCCGTTTACATTGGACATTACTTCTGTGTAAACCGAAGTTTTCAGTTGTCTCTTGTAGTATGTTCCCCAAGTTCTTTGACTGAGAATCTGACAGTTTGGGTTCAAATCCCAGCATTTGGCTTCAGATTTTTCTTCTTTCATTTCTGATTTTTTTCTAAGTTGAGGAAAAAGTTCTAAGTCCTCGGGCTAATAGTGGTCAATAATAAGTGGTCAATATAAGCGGTCAATTATGCTGATATTTGACCGCTTAGAGATCACAAGTTTCTGTGGGGGTCAATAATAAGAGAGTGATAAATTTATCACTCTCATATTATTGACCCCACAGAAACTTGTGATCTCTAAGCGGTCAAATATCAGCATATATAATATTGACCGCTTATATTGACCACTTATTATTACTTATTATTGACCACTTTAATATTAAAAACCCTTTGCGGTGCATCAGTCATTAACGACTGATATTGTGTACGTACCGTAAAACTGTCGTAACTCCATCGATTTATGTCCTGTTGCAAATATTGAAATATGTAGATCAAAGAGGAAGCTCCAAGCTTTCCAATGATGTAATCGCTTTTGCAATAGGAGAAACGATGATAAAGATATGGCGCTCGAAAGTTTGATCGCGGCACTAAATTGTTCAAACGTCTTAAAATCATTTTTTTGCCTCGTGCTTCGGGGATTTCCCGTGGATCACGTGGTGCGCAGCCAGCTGATGACGTGTGGGTGTAATGACGTCGAAACTACTGATTGAGATGCAAAAATATCCAGAGCTGTGCTAGAAACGACAGCGAAATGGCATTGGGATGAAATTTAGAAGTATTTCTTTCAACACGAGGCCCGACCTATGGCGATTCCCTGCGCTCTGGAGCAGGCTTTGTGGCACCCACGGAGTTGAGCGTGGCCTCATTCTCTTGGCAGCGGAAAGAGCGTTTCAAAGAGCCCTAGACTGTCAAAATCAAGCAAACAGAACGTAAGTTATGGTGGAAAAGGTGGAGTGAACTGCAATTGCGCATTTTCACGCGTTCAGTGGCACCTCAAAATTAAGGGACCGTCCGGGGTTACCGATTGTTTTTACAAACGAAAAGTTTTAGTATTTTTCAGCCCCCACCCGGTACCCACCCACCTTTTCAGCAGGTAAAACGAATTCCAATAAAATATTGATGTCAATTTTCGACACCCAAAGGGCCAAAAGTAACTGGGCCTTCTCCATCTGCATTCAATAATATTATTTTCAAAACGAAACTCCATCAAACCCACCCACCCCCAAACGAAATCTTTTCGTTTTGAAAATATTATTGGTAACCTTGGACGGCCCCTTAGCCCGAGGACTTAGAACTTTTTCCTCAACTTAGAAAAGAATTAGAACTGAAAGAAGAAAAATCTGAAGCCAAATGCTGGGATTTGAACCCAAACTGTCAGATTCTCAGTCAAAGAACTTGAGGAACATACTACAAGAGACAACTGAAAACTTCGGTTTACACAGAAGTAATGTCCAATGTAAACGGCATAAGTACATACTATTATACTATTACAATAGTATTCCTTTCTTCCTAAAGCAAAGCAAAACCAGTTTTAGGTATGCTATGTCGTGATAAATCTATTATTGCCCTCATAATTGGTCAATATATGAAATATAGACCTCGTAAAAGACCTCGGGGGACCTCGGTCTTTTACTCGTTCTATATTTCATAATTATATTGACCTCTTTAATCGTGCAATAATAGATACATATATACCCAATGCTGTAGGCAGCAAGCTGTTTCGGCAATAAAGGCCTCATCAGTACAGCTACGAGCTAAATAGGCCGAGCTAGCAGCAGTATATATTATTAACTGATATTATATTATTATAGTTGGCATGTTCAGCAATACGGTACATACTTTCTTGTTTTGATGTTGGAGTTCGGATTGAGTTTCTTTCCTTTCTTCTTTTTCCTTCCCATATTTCTTGTCCCTTTGGTTTTTAGCTTTTTGTTTTTTCACTTTCTTTTTGCTGTCCCACCCATGGAAATATTTCCCGGTGGGTTTGGCTTATCGCCTTCGAAAGAAGTGAATAAAGGAGACATAATACGTGTAGAAAGGAAAAGGAAATAAGATACGAGTTGAGAGTAACTCTCCATCACTTTAACCAGATACTATAATACAGTCAGAAAGTGCAATACCTAGGCACAAAACTGACAGAGTACTGAGACATTCGACGTCCTGACACCTAGCTTCAACACATCTCCATAACGCTAACAGACAGCCTTCCAACTAGGAAGGTTCAAGGTTATGGAAAGACCAAAGAGGGGAAGGCAAGCGCAACGAAAATGAGCACAAGCTACAGTTCCAACGGAACAAAGAATGTCGATTGTTACTGGACTATGACAAGACCAGTAGGATATTTGACAAAGCGGTCTAACTACAATTCGAAGCAGCAAAGCAGCACACCAGCCAACTTGGGTGGGTCATAAATATCAAAGATAAGTAAACAAGTAGAAAGGAAAAGGACATATGGAAACGAGTTAAGAGTAACTCTCCACCACTGTAACTAGATACTATATACAGTCAGAAAGTGCAACAACTAGGCACAAAACTGACAGAGTACTGAGACATTCGACGTCCTGACACCTAGCTTCAACACATCTCCGTAGCGCTAACCTTCCAAGTTGGAAGGCTGTCGGTTAGCGCTACGGAGATGTGTTGAAGCTAGGTGTCAGGACGTCGAATGTCTCAGTACTCTGTCAGTTTTGTGCCTAGTTGTTGCACTTTCTGACTGTATATAGTATCTAGTTACAGTGGTGGAGAGTTACTCTTAACTCGTTTCCATATGTCCTTTTCCTTTCTACTTTTATTATTGGCTCAATACCCGAGTTTCAGATAAGTAAAGAAGGGGTGTATATAGTATCTGGTTTAAGTGATGGAGAGTTACTCTCAACTCGTATCTATATTTCCTTTTCCTTTCTACATTATTATTGGCTCAATATCCGAGTTTCAAATAATAATACGTTTCTCTCTTTCCCTCAAACCAGTTAAAATAATAATAATAATAATAATAATAATAATATTAGCCCTCTTGGCGGGGATTGCAGCTCTTTATAAAAATGCTTTGCTTCACGGAAACGTATTTCATTGCGAAGAGCTGCGCTTCGGTCCTCTGAGCTGTGCTGATGAGCTCTAACAGAGCGAAACCGTGTGAGTTGCTGTCCACAGACTTGAGTAATAATAATAATAATTTCGAAATAAAAGTGTCAGCACCGACGCAATGCACACAGTCAGGAAAGCCAATTTCTTAACCGAACCGGCGTTTTCGTTCCCTTCTCATCATGGGTTAATACAGGGAATAATGGAAAAATGTCAAATACAGCAACTTATATTAAAGCAAAAGCATAGATTGGTGCTGACACCTTTATTTCGAAATTGGATACGCCTCCAATTTTTCCTTACAATAATAATAATAATTATGATGAAGAAAGGAAAAGGACGAAATGTTACGAGTTATGACAAACTGTCCACCAAAGTAACCAGATCTTATACAGTCAGCGAGTGCGACAAAATGGCACAAAAACTGACAAGGAGTACTGATTAATATGCTCATCGCGTTTTAGTTGGCACGTGAAGTTGGTATTGGTGTTTATTTATTTTACATCGCATGTCAAACAGGCAGTTCTGCCCAATATCATGAAAGCGATGACAACCAGTAACCAGCAAGGTTCAAGTGTGCGGGTGGTTAGTATAGTTAGTTTCAGTGAGGGCTGCGTCCCACCCGCTTGTGGCAGATACACGGGCAGCCTGACTTTCGAAATATTAAAGAAAACATTCAGTAGTCGCTGCTTGGATGGCAGTACGCCATAGCTTAGTGGCCGTGAGCCAGGGTCCCTGGTTTGAGGCCTGGTGGTGAGAGTCAATTCTGTCTTCAGACTTTCCCCTAGGCCCTCAACCTGATGAATAACACTTCAAGTATTAAAGTATCTGTCCTATCAAAGGTTAACTCAATAAGAACAGAAATCTCATGTTTAAAAAAAGTAGAAAGGAAAAGGAAATATAGATACGAGTTTTGTGCCTAGTTGTTGCACTTTCTGACTGTATATAGCATATGGTTAAAGTGATGGAGAGTTACCTCACCCACCTCTCTCAACTCATATCTATTTCCTTTTCCTTTCTACATTTATTATGGCCTTAACACCCTGAGTTAAAAAAAAAGGATTATGTTTTAAATTTTTAACATCGCCGTAATGCATACCACCTTCCGTTGCTGAATGCTAGCCCAATTCGTGTCAATGTCTGGACGTCGGACGAGTACCGATGTATACCTAAAAGAAAGCAGTCAGCAGTCAGCAGTATAGACAGAGACCGGCCAGAATGCAGTCAACTACACTGTACTCATGTCCAGAAACCGGGGTCCAGCAACCGGGGTCCAACAACCGGGGTCCAGCAACCGGGGTCCAGCAACCGGGGTCCAGCAAAGGTTAGCTTGTAGGCATCGAACCCGACGAACCGTCGCCAGCACATTGCACGAGTTCTTTCTTTTGCTTCGCCTTTCTCTTTCCGGTAGTGAAACCGTGGCTATTCGAT